CCGCCAGCGGCTCCCCCCTCCCCGGCCGCCAGTCACCGCCCCACCGCTCACCTTCACCGCCGCTCCCGTAAGGCCGCCATGTTACCCCCGCGGCATCGTCACCCGAGAGGCGCAAGGCGGAGCTCGTCATCGCCAGGCGACGGGCGGGCCCTCTCCCGCGGCACCATGGGCGCCGTAGTCTGAGGGCACCGCCCCGCAAGGCCCCCGCCGCCGGAACCCAACCCACCGACGGCCTCCCCGCGGGCTAAGGCTTTAATGCGAGTTCCCCGGCTGAAACCGTACATCTCCTGTGACAGACTGCTAATTAATTCCCATCACCGTACTCGGCAGAGGAAAGACACAACAAAACAAGTGAAAAAAATATAAATACATACACCTTTTCGACATCTTCTCAACGATTGGCCTATCAAGTCCGTTCATTTGGTAACAGATAGTTCTGGATGTCACTTAACAAGATTTATTATTGTTTTACTTTTCAAACTCATTGACCCTGCCTGGATTTTTCTCCCTTGGGCACGCGTGAGTCTGTAGCCTTGACATAGACCGAAAAAGCACATGGGAAGCAGTGGAAAAAGGTCTGTCGCCTTCCTCAGGTCCATTCAAACTGTATGAAGTTCCCTGCCAGAATTTACACATCTAAAGCTACTCTGCCTGCATTAATGCGACCCGTCCTAGATGAAGGGGCTCTGCACCTGACAATTAGACAGTAGAAGCTGTAGACACAGAGAACTAAGAGGAAGATGTTTTTTCCTAAGGACAATCATGATGTGAATTTACTGCTTGTGAAACATACTACTCTGGCAGGCCCAGAGCATAATGGTGTCTGATAAGCAGAGCAGGCATCTCACAGGCAACGGCAGAAAAGGTTTCTCCCCCTTCCCTCTCTAACCACGGGTCTAGTCTAGACAGATTTTTACACCTACCAGCTCACCACAGTCTCTCAGCACTTTCTAACCACTCATTTCTATCAGCCTCGACCCCACTGGAGAAGTGTCTGCAGTGGAGTGTTTTGGTTTGGATTCTCAAATAATAGAAACACTGAATAATTATTTCCTCTAAGTACCAGAGAACAGCTCTTTGATGGCCCATTCAAATTAGATGCAAAGAAAATTATCAAAACAATCTCTGAGAACTGGAATGAGGCCACCAAAGACCACTGGGACCTCTGGGTTGTTATGCAGAGATTGATTAGAGCTTTTGGCAATCTTAACATGGGATAGAACAGAGACAATGCAGCAGTGAAGCCCTCCTGACTGATCTACTGTTCTCAGCCTTCCCATTCTTAGATCTTACCTACACACACCAATATGGTCTGAATTTGTCTGGGTACGCACGCTCCTTTTAGGTACGGTAATAGAAGATAGGGAGGCTATCTTTTTATCTCTTCAGTCTAATCCCAGAGGTAAAGTATCATTAGCAGACCTTCCTTTAGCTAACTGGAAGCACCTGTATTGCCACTGCTGCTGCTTTGAACTTTGTGATATGCTTCCAAGGACTGCAAAGAGGTAAGGAATCAGATGATCTTCAGGCTCTTATTACTGAGTTTCATCTGGTATAACATTTAACTGTTATGACTCCTGGAGTCAGCTCCCTGATTGGTTTATATTTGGAATAGTATCCAGGAATTATTGTCTAACGTCCAGTCCCATATCTGCTGTGGATGAAAATGGGCTTCCAGCTACTTGGAGAGAGAGCTTGTGACTTGCCTCCAAAAAGCTGGATTTCCAGTCCAAGAAAGCATTTTTGTAAAGCCAACCAATCAGTGAAGGTTCAAGTAAATCGCATTTCCAAGAAACAGCGGATGAGGAGCAGAATCAGAAATGAAGGCACAAAATCTCCTTCCAAATTCTACAGCAATATTCCTAGATATTACCTGCAGTATCAGAGAGTGAGATCTTCCAGTAGTGGAGTCTTAAAATATTAAAAATCAATATCCAAATAGCTTTGATCAATGCCTTAGAAACTCTCAGCAGCATTCCCTGTTTCCACTCAAAGTCAGCAGTGAGCAGGGCCAGGGAAAGGTCCTTCCTGTGAAGCGTGGCTCTAGGGGTCAAGAAAGGACACTGCGATATAACGGGTTCCTTTGGTGGTTGGAAGACCTTCATGATAGTGGGTCAGGCGTCCTGGGTGCATAAGGGTCCACCCTTTCCGTGGAGCTCGAATGGAGCAATTGTAGCGCAGGAACCGGCAGCCTCCTCCCTGATAGAAACAAAACAAGAGACACATCAGCCTGGCAAAAGCACCTCAGGGAAAAGGTCTCTGCCTTCTCCTGGCAGCCCTTCTGAAAAGGTGAGAAGGTGCTTGGGGAATCTCCTGTGTTCTGATGCATTCAAAAAATCTTCTTTCTACCCTAGCCCAGTCATTGCAATCCTTAGTGTCAAGAAGCCAGATATGGCTAAGAAAAGGGTTTTCAGCCACCCAGACTGCTCAAGAGGGTGTACTGCATTCATGACACACTGGCAAACACTTACCTCATAGTCTATTCCAACTCGGTTCAAAGCAATGTTAATGGTAAAGGTGGAAGCGTCATGATGGGGCATTAAAGAGGGCTGCTCGTCAGGTTTGTAGCGAACTACAAATGCTAGCTCAAATTGAGTCTGCAGGAGAGAAGAACAAAGTGCACATCTGTTACGGGGCTAGAAGTAGTCCGTGGCTACTGAGCTGCAGAGCAGGGTGTAATATTTAAATTGCAGCCCACTGCTAAGAGAGAAAGGCAACAATAAGGCAGGAGAACGTCACTGGGAAATGGCGTATTTCCTGATGCATATACTTATGTCACACTCCAGGGTCAGTTCCTCCATACTGCGAAATAGTATGCATATTGCTAGAGGATTCTAGCAGTCTTTTCACAAAGTTGCAACTGGAGGAGGTGCTGAGCTGACCATGAGTCTTGATGCTAAGGCGTACATACCTTGGTATAGTATCCTGGGTACAGTTTCTCTGTGATGGGTGCAATATAGTCCAGAAGAAACTTATACCATTCTCTTTCAAAGCCAATTTGGTTCATGTGTATGTCAATAGTTGGGACGTTCTCATATCCTCCTTGTATTCTGCTGTCCTGAAATAGAATCATGAAAATACCCATAAGGATGGGAACCTTGGACTTCAGGAATGAAAAGCACTTGTTTCTGGTAACTACAAATAAATATGACGTTCATTTATCAGAATTTCCAGGATGGAAAACTAATTTCAAACAACAATGAAAACCTAAGGTAAACAATATTACCATCAGAAGGGCTGAACACTGTAGCTTCAGAGGACACTGAGGAGGACTCAGGAAAATCAATTCACATTTAAGAACAGGGGGAAATCACAGAGTTAATCAGGAACAAAATTAAGAGTATTGCCTCCAGTTTCCTGGTTTAACTGTGGGATCTAATGCCTTCCTACAGGAGGCACTGCTGCCACCAAATACGCATAGATGATGGTGGGACCCAAAAATCAAAAAGCTCCTGCTTTTTCTTACCGTGTTGTCACCTGTGGACCACTGGCCATAATGTTCCATTTCTTCCACCAGCTCATCACAGGCAATGTCAGTGAATATGGGGAACCAGTAAACATCTGGGCAGGGCTGCAGAAAGTAGACAGGTGAGAATAGCAGAAACAAGGACAGGTGCTTGAGGCAAAAGGAATAAGACTAAACTGACTGTAGACTGAGTCATTTTCAGTGGAAAATAACTAAAATACTGAGCATAGAAATTTGTCTTCTGATTTATGTGCCCCACTTTCACTTAAGCGAGCTGGAGATGTACTCCTAGAAGAATGATTTGGCTCTAAAAATACTTTCAAGGTCATGTTTCCTCTAGATTTGAAAGACTACGAGGTCGTGCTGAACTGCATAACTGAATACTGGTTATTCCTGAGAACGACAATAGTGATGATACAAGCATTGTCCTGATGCTAATCTCCCATTCTGATGGATAAGAGTGATGTTTTCTTACCATTTCTACCAATTTCCCTTTCAGAGCTGCTGTGTAGTTTTCATGGATGTACTTTTCTCTCCAGTCCTGCAGTTAAAAGATAAGCAAACCAGTCATTTCTGTGGAGCCTGGTTCAAGAGGCAGTGAAAGGCCAGGCATTCATGCAGCAGTATTTCACAGGCTTTGAAGATCCAGATGTTATGAATCACATAAACACCCTCTCTTTAAATTCTGTGACTATGCTCCTCATCCCACCTGAGAGACATCGTTATTACACAGCCTGGACCTTCCTTATTGGTGAAGCTAGTCATCACATCTTCACACGCCACATTGCTAAGCCTGCTAAGCATGCAGGTTGTCTCACCTCAGGATTGCTGAATATTTGCCAGAGGTCATTGTGGAGGTGAGTTGTCTGATAATTCTCCAGGGCCAGTATGTGTCCAAACTGATGTCGATTTGTCAGGTACATAAAGACGCCCTGCAGGACAGAGGGAAACAATCAAGCTTTGCTTCCAGGCCTCACATTTCTATAAGCCACTATGAAATATAAGCACTGGACAGTTCCCCAGTGATGATGGCTCTGCCCAAGCCGTTCATTTACTCATTCTTTCTCCTATGGGCCTTCAGCTTAATTTCCACCCTGGATAAGAGGAACTTTGAAAGGTTATAGCCAGAGCCAGTAATTCTGTGCCTTTTGTCAGCCAGAGTTGGAAGCAGAGCAGAGCAGCTGCTGTGAGATTAGGTTCTTCCTTCTTACCCTGTCAACTCCATTTAGAACAGCCCTGAATAGCCCAAGAACAAAAATGTTATCCACATTTAGTGGTCCTTGTCTCTGTATGGTTTCACAGCAAGATAGAAATCCCATGCTGTTCCAAGCCTGCACAGTACTGAGTAATGCCCGTTCAGCCTGTCCCATGCCCCGGCAGAGCTGAATGCCTTGAAACTACTTAATCTTGCACCTCCACTCTGGCATGCAGTTCTCCCCTGCCAACCTCTCTCTCCTCAACTGACCTGATTCCGAACGTTGTGGCAGAAAGCCATGTCAGCATCCAGCTTGCCACTGTGGAAGAGATCTCCCTGGTCGAGCTCCGATCGCAGAGCCTTGGCTTTAACCATGTAAACGCTGCTGATGTAGGGAACGTTCCAAAGCCCGCTGAAACACAGGGGTAGAAGAGTAAGACTTGAAATAGCACTAAGACAAAAACTGCTGGACTTGACGGGATGGCAGGCAGCACTGCAGTATCAGCCAGGGTTGCCTAAATGAGCCAGCTCAGAACAGTAGGGAGAAACCATACCAACAGGAATTGTCATTCCAGGAAAAATCACTTATATTGCCCAGAGCTTTTAAGCTGCACAAATGCTAGTCCACTGCGAAAGCAATTAATTGCTACTGTGTGTTTCTGCTAGGGACATAATTAATGGCTTGAATCTCTTCCCAGAGAGATCAACTTATTTTTTTCCAGTGATTTAAAAAAACTGAACCAGCCAAAAGTGCATAAGCTGATTTCCAGCATTTATCGCACATATAATGGCCTAAAAAAAAAAAAAAAAGGGCCTCTCAAGAATATGAATGAACCAACAATTATATTTTGTGAATCTTCCATTCAAGGATCACCTGGTATTTTATGAAGACTATCTGATAAAGATTAAACAGCACTTTACAGGATTTTAAGGATCACACTAACTATAATCCACAGGTGGGAAAACATGACATGAGTAAGATGAAGTGATTTCAGCAGAGTCAGGACTCTTAAACCCTTACTCTGATCATAAGAAAATCTGCCCAAAGTATGTTATGGTCTCTGCTCAGGGGAGAACAGAGAGCAGCTTCCAAATGGGAGTACAGACTTATTTTCCTTTTCTACGCACAAAGACAGTTGTGCTCTCTGGTTCTTTGACATTAGCTGGTTTGATGATAATGTGCTGCAGCAAGCTTTACATTTGAGGGATTATATCAGTAAGAAACTCTCTTTGCATACGCACACCCTCCGCCTTTGAACAATATCCACATAATCTTCTGAGCGGGCATAGTATCCATCAGGGCTCAGCGCTCCCCAGAAATTTGACCACAACTTCTCATGACGGCTTACCAGTGGGGCAATCACCAGCCTGTGAGCACAAAAGAAAAAGGAATTGCAGGACAGGATGTTACCACAGAAAGAAAAGGAAAAGATTTACAAACCACAGGACTGTAAGAGTTAGATTCTCCCTCACTTACAGAGTTGCTGCTTCTGTTAACTTTGTTGGAATAAAATTCCACATACGAAAGGGCAAATACGGTCACAATCTCCTGTCTAACTGCACCCTGCAGCAGGTCTCTTACAATCCAATTTGTTCTAGCAACTACATAAAGACAAAACTAGGGATGATTTACATCCACTGCCTAAAATCCAGGGATTACAACTACAGTAAAAGACGACCAAATAAGAGGTGTTTGTCTAACATTCCATCTCTGACACAGTTCTCCTAGCGCATTACACATCTCAGTGATAAAAGAGCTCACTGTATTCCTCGTGTGAAAGATGACCAATAAGGATGGCTCAGACCGAAGAACTCACTTGTTCTGTTCAATCAGGATCCTTAGAGTCTCTGTGTTCTTCAGAACTATCTCAGCATCCAGGCTAAAGTAGTAGTCACAGTCAGGATCCTTTCTGCACAAATCCCTATAGACAGAGAAAAAGAAAAGTCATATCAAAATCCTCCTAGAACAGACCAAGACAAGGGACAGAACACCAGGAATTCCCTCACCCTGTAGACTAAAGGTCATCTTCTGGGTGCTCAGAAAAGTTCAATTTAATGTAACAACCCAGAAGGCTAGCATAGTACAAGCACATCAGCCAAAATCAACATTTAGCAAACTGTTTCCCCAGCACAAACTGAAGAGGTTCCCATTGACAGTTGGCCCAAATCCAGACCTGAGCTCAAACTCACACCTCCTGATCACAGACAGGAAGATACTCTACCACTAGCTCTTAGTTTTACTACTACACTTCTCCTCTTCAGAGATGTAGGTGAATATTCCTTGTGATCTATGAGTGAGCATATAGACTGCTTGATGAGGGTAGGAGGTACAGGGCTATCCTTCTAACAGAGCAAAGGACCAGTGAGAACTTGGTTTCTGAAATCAGAGAAAGGGAGCTGGTATCAGGGCTGTTTTTTTTTCCAATATATAATGGGCATGGGGAGTTAATGCTAGGAAAACTGAAAGAAGAGGGTGACTGAAAGAAGAGAAGCATCTTGACAGTGATGATACTCAGAAAAACTGGACTGCATTAGTTTGGACATGGGCTGACTCTGCTAGCCATCATGTATGGCCTCTTCACTTACATGCCCAAGTTACGCGCCTCAGCATTCTCCACCTCATCATCTGGCCCAATCACTTTGATGGCGAGATATTCTTTGCCATGCTCTTTAACAAAAGAGTCCACCTGCATCAAGTGATGTTGCTCCTGTGCCAAAGGAAAAACAGATGAGACGGGCTCATCCCAGGCTGCTCAGCCTCCTGTTCCTGAAAATACCAAACCAGATGAGCAACAGTTCTTCCCATTTCCACATCTTTACAGCTGGATGGAGCGATCTTATAGGTGCCATTGCAGATGAGTACTGGGATTACAGAGCCTGGAAGTCTGGTCAAAAGTTGCAAAGGTGCCTACAGTACAGGAGGAGGCATACATTGTCTGTGCATTTGCTAAGACCATCACAGGCCAACTTTACTTACATGGTTGTGAATGAAGAGCTGGATTCGTTGCTTCGGGTAATGAAGGTTACGAAGCCGCAAGAAAAACTGGGAGAGGAATGGGGTGGGCTGCTCAATGAAAATGCCAATCAGAATCATTGGCAATGCTTCATCCTACGTTCAGTGAGAAGAGGAGAGAAGCGGTGGCTCAGGTACCACATCAGATCCCATTGTAATTGTAAGACTTGTTCTGAGAGCTTTGAATAGACATCAGCCTTACCTTAAACCCTGTGAGGCTTCGCAGGCCTTCATCACACACAGTGCAGCCAGTCTCAAATGTCCATATTTGAGGAATGTAGTTTCCCAGGTAGTTCAACTGCAGCTGCAAAACGCAATTTGCCATGTTACGCATTACAGGGCAGGGGAGTTTCTTTGCATCCACTCTCAGTGTAAGATCACGTTTCATCAGAACTTTATTTACCTTCTTCTTGGATTAAAGAATCTAAAAAGCACGACAGCCTGAGGGTCTAATTACACGCTGATCTTTGAACCAGACCCATCTTGCTGCTATGGACCTGGACCACTTATTGTTTCTCAAATGTAAAAGTACACAGGGAAAGTCAGTATATGGGAAGACAGTAGTAACCTGATACAATTGAGCCTAAAGGGTCCCTTTGCAACAAATACACATCGAATCTTTCCCTCAGGATGCCCACTTACCTTGGTGGGTCCATTTCCATGAATCACCACAGGCAGAGTGTCATATAACAAGTTTCTTGCTCTCACTCGTGAGTTTTCAAACTTCAGAACTACCTCATCTGGAAATGACATTGCCATCATGTTATCAGAGGAAGGCTTTTATTCATAATTAGCAGCACAATGCCTCATTTCTACTGAACAACTGCTGAAAGATGAAAGCACAGACACAGATAACCATGCACAAGTAGTTCAAGGGCTACAGACCATATCCAGAAATGAGGAAAAAATGTTCAGAATGATCCTGTGAGGTAACAGGAGGATGGCTGGGAAGCTGGACAAAGAGCGCAGCTTGCTGGGCTGACAAATACACCTTCTACTGGGAATTGGCAGAAGCCACACTGAAACGGACTTACAACACTGGCATTGACAAATTGTGCTGTGAGGAGTTGATGGCCAGGGAGGACTTGGACCCTTCTCACCTAAGGATTCTATGCACCTGCTGCCTCTCTTTTTCACCCCAGAGAAAAGTCCGCCCTCCTGGCAGACATCATCCAAGATGTCTCCTCAACAGAAACACACAAAATCCTTTGGAAAACAGACTAGTACAGATCCAAGCTCCAGTCTATCATTGTTATAACAAGCACAGGAGCCAAAGACTACACTGCCGTTATCATTTTTTACCTGACTGGAATAAAGATGGAGTGGTGCAAGACTATAAACTGAAAACATTAGGCAATAGTGTCAGGAGAGTAAGTGAATCATTTTTGCCAGGACTAGCAAAATCAATCGATCAGCAGGTCAGGTCAGAAGCCTGGTACGGTCAGTGAGTGCTCACAGGCAGTGTCTGCCTGCATCCCACCTTCTGTGGCATTCCACACACAGTTGTGAAGCACAAAGACAGGCAAGCCCTAGGCAGGGTTGTGTGTTATTACTTGCACTGAAGTCCCTCCCAGTTTCAATTCCCAAGGCTAATGTAATCCGACATGCCTGAAGATCAAAGTGGCAAGGAGGTGTAAGATGGAAAACCTGACCTGCATTCCCCCAAGTGAAGAGGGAATTGCAATGAGAACCTAGTTGGTCACAGTGGAATTGCAAATAAATTCCAGAACTCTGGCAGAGGCTTTTTACTGAGGCTTATTCTGCAGGGACAGGAATTTCTGAAATTTAATCCCTTCAGCCACAACATGACTTTACTTCTGGTGTCAGCATGTAGTTACATTCCAAGGAGAAATGAGCTTCCTTCTTCCATCTCACCTAATGCTCCATTTAGGTTTTGGAAGATCCGGCTTCTTTGGTCTAGACTGATGTTGATACTTTCCTTTAAAAGAATGAGATAAATAACCTTAATTAGAACACAAGTGGGGATCTATTCCTTACATGTGAGAGACCCTATGCTGAGCGAAGATATGTCACATTCCCATAATCACTTCCGTACTCTCCAAGCTCTGAAGCCTAAAACACTCCCAGCTAATTCTCATTTTCACTTGAATCTGGGACAATATGTCATTTTCTAAAACAATTTAAACAAATATTAGGCAAAACCATGCAAATAAACATTTTAAAGCTGCTGTGGGTGTGCCAATAATAAAATGCAGCATATTAATGAAGTACACTTGCAGCACAGTCATATAAAACGCACGTATAATATGCAGCCAAGATAGCAAAAACATCTGCTGTGAAGACAGTTTCTTGCCATCTACCCACAGGGTGAACATTACCCCAGGAGTTGCCCCAGGTACCGGTGTCAAACCAGAACACAGTGAGGGTGCAAGTCCAGCTCATGCAGTCTTTGTTTTTATCCCCTGCTGCAAGTCACACTCTGTCTGGATTTTTGTCAGACTAAAATCCAGCTCTGACTTAACAGAGTTCAGTGTCCCTCCAGGCATCTATTAAGACTGATTACTGGACAGGACAGCAGAGTGCTAACATCCGCTGTCTGGATGCCAAGTCAGTGGAATTACTCAGCCTTTGCGTGGCATAGGGCCAGAACTGCAGATGAGAACATTAAAGGAACTGTTCACGTTAAAATATCATGGGCCATATTCAGATTTGGGGAAGGGAAAAAGTGCAGCTGTTCTGAATTTTTTGCCAGCCCTGCTGGTAAAAAAGTGCAACTCCTTCTCTAATCAGTCTGAAAGCAGTTTCCTATTTCTAATGCTTCCTCTTGACTTTACTGGTACAGTTTGACTTCTTAGTTCCCATGCATTTGTGGTGTCCCCCAGGGACAGACTGCACTGCGTAATGCAGAACTGGGCAGGGACAACAGAAGCAGAATCACCCTGTGGGCTGGATGATTAGGCCGGTGCACCACATGGTGCTGGAACGGCAATGATGCTTCCAGGGTCCATTTCAGGCTTCTGTATGATGTTACGTGGCATGCTACATCGGCTGACGCAGACTTTGTCAGCCAGGATCTGGAGGTGTTTGCTGAAGGCAGTGGCAGCCTCTTCACTCCACCAGGGCTACCCACTGCGATGCCTATGGTCCCTGTCCTGTGGCACAACGTGGCTACAAGGCTGTGAACCTTTGTTCCTTCGTCACCTCGAATCTGCTCAGGCCTCATCTGCCCCTTTACCTACAATGTGCTTCAGTGCTAGGTTGGATATCTCTAAGTCAGCACTGCACTCTGCAGGGAGGATACACACTTGAAGTCTGGGTTTCACATCCCCTGAGGGGAGGCTAGTTAGTTCTGCCACACCCCATAGCTTTAAACATCAGCACATACAGATACTGGTATGAGTTTCCAGTAAGACTTGTTTTAAGACATCTATCTTCCCATTCACATTTTAAACTTTTTAATTTTTTTTTTTTTAAAGAAAAAAAACGCTAATAACAGAACAAGGGGGTAGTGGCTAGAATGCAAATTTTCAGAAGGAAAATGGGTAACTAGACATACTACTGGCCTTTTTCATGTAAGGATGCCAGAGCAGTAATTAAGGGTCAATATGTATGTGATTAACTTCTTTTACTGTCAACAGGAATAATGCACAGAGGATTAACAGCAATGTTTCTCAGACAACTCCTAATCCCAAAATCTAGCTACACTTACTCTTTTTTCTGGATCCAAGAAGACATTCGTATAGAAGAGCTGGTCACTGTCATCATCCTGTCCTTTCCACTCCTCCACAAGCTTCTTCAGGTTTGGAGCATAACCTATGAAGCCTGTGGGAATAAGTAAGAAGAGGTGTTTCAACCCATACAACCAAAAAAGGTAAGGACTCCTGTATACACATACCCTAACTTCTTTCACACCAAGTCTCACTCCACCCTGTGTTGCTGCAGAGATACACCAGCTTTCAGCAAAGGCATGGCATGGCATGGAATGACACCAGGATCAAACCTGTAATCTTCAGCATCAGAAAAGCTCAGATACCCACACCCTGAATGACAAGTCTCACTGAAAAGGGAGAAGGGGTAGGGAGCAGGTTCCTGTCCTCTACAGGCAATTCATAGCTATGTCCCCTCCTGCAGGTAAAAGACAGGAGCATTGTTAGTCTTTTCATTATGGCCAGTTATGCACAGGGCTTCAGTTTGCACCATCTTCTATAAAGATGCTTTCCACACTTGGTCCCTTGCTACTTCTCCCAAAGGCCTTCTAATAGAAGGAAAAAGCTGAAAGAGGTTCTCAGCTGAAAGAAGGTTCTGTGTCTTACCTCCAGAACCCAGGAAGCGCTTTCCGTCTCGCACCTGAGGGTACTTGGCTTCCAACTTTCTGTCAGGATAGATGTAGTTCTCTGCTGAGAAGACCACCTTGCTCTTGGCTTGTTTGAACTTCTTCAGCAGTTCTGTGGGGCCCGAAGCAAAGAGTACATCATAGCTAGAGTAAGAGACAGACAAGAAAGGGATAGAAAGGAATGGCATCAGAAAAATATGTCAGTGTGAAACGTTTCTAGAAACAGCTAATTCTCTAGGAATCCCTTTCTTTTAGTTCTGTTTCACAGTACTACATTTTTTGTCATAATTATAGCTAATTAAAGTGCAATCTTATTCATAGAGTTGAAGATGTTACTTTCCACTGCAGAAGATTCCACACTGGCTTGGCGCAACTTACGCCCATTCTTATTTTTACAAAGTTTTCACTGATGACAAAAACAAACCTTCCAAGCTGCAAAACATGCTGATCTCTTCTTGCTTTGCCCCCATTTGGAACTGTTAAGCCCTGGTGCCGTCACTGTTTGTAACAACTTTTTACTTATTGGAGGAAGAATTACTCTGCCGTTCCTTTCTAGATTAAACAAACCCATAGGTCATGCTTTTTACATCTTTTGGCATCCTGCCACTCTCCACTGAGCAAATCTTCAGGAGGAACCTATACTGGACACCAGTCACTAGATGCTGCACTCCAGCCACTCTCTCTTCAGTACTGGGTAGAACTGACTAATTCCCAGGTGACACTCCCAGAATGAGACTTGCACTTTCTGCAAGAGTATTTGCATACTTCAAACTCATTTTGGTGAGTGAAAAACGTGCTCATTCCAGAGATTAATCATTCCCAACTTCTCTAAATACACGTAGACACTCAGAGCTGCAGAAGATGATCTCCCTGCCATGGGAGCTAGAGACAGATACAGGGATCCCAGCCCTGCCTGTTGCTGGGCATATGAAAAGACACTCAGACTCCAAACCATCCTTTTCCCTCTCCACATTTCTCTGGCAGACTAATTCTTGGCTCTCAGGATTGTGTTGCAGCCTGCCTCACCTTATAAAACAAATAATTCTGCTAAGAAAGGCCTGCCTAGATTCACCAGAATTGTCTGCTCATTCTCTGCAGACAGAGGCAGCCAAATTCCACCCTGGCAGAAACAGGTATAACGCTATCAACTTTATGCAAGAGCTGGAATCAGCCTATTCTGATCAGACCTTCCCAGCTGCCACGGATGCAGCTCTGAGCAACTCTCAGGCAACCGCAGAGAATTCAGGGGGAAAAAAATGGAGGAGGTCTGGATGCACCTTCCAAAAGCAATCGACTTCACAGTTAATTTCTTCTTAGTAAGAACCTGTCCAAACAGCCTTATGATTCAGTTCATGGCAAATACTTTCCAACCCATTATTACCTTTCTATGAAAAGGATGATCAAGTCTTCCTTATCTGCATACTGCTTCAAAGCTGATTTCAAGAGACGGACCTTCTGCCCACCTCCTGCTGGCTTCTTGTCATCTCCACCCTGCCATTCCTCATCCAGCCCCAGCACCTAAAGAACAGGCACAGGGTCTATTAACAGGCCACTTTCCCAGCAAGACTCACAGGGAAGGACCAGAACCCACCACCTTACTAGTCCTGGTAACTCCCAGTGCAAATCATAACAAAAAAAACCAGCATCAGGACAGACGGAGTAGGTATATACACCAGCCTTTGAACCATTCTCTGGGATGGACAGTCAGGGTAACATGTAGCACAGCAACAAAGCACTCTCAGCAACAGGGACAGGAGCACACTCTGTACTGTGTATTTTGGCATAGCAATGGAAAAGTGCCACGGGGCTCCCTTGAGCAGGAGTTATGGTCTCCTCTCAAGCCAACACAATAAGAGCCTGCTACAGAAATGCCCCAGTCACAGTATTTTTCAGCCAGCTGAGTAGGTGTGTCCTCTCCTGAGCTTTTATTTAATCACTTTGTGGCCAAGTCTTATCCATTCCACACTTGAAAATTCCCTTTGACAAACCACCACCGAGGCTGCTAGCCATCACCTGGACTTTGTAGTTGAAGAATCGGGCTGATCTTCTAAAGCGTTGGAATCCCTCAGTCTGCTTGGTGGCAACAGTGAGAACCAGCAGGTTTTCTGCATACAGGAGAAAGCACAAGAGACACATTCAACTTGCATTGTTTTCACAACCAGCTGTTCCATACCTACCAAAGACGCTTTACTATCAGATACTGAGCTAAGGTAGGGATCAATAGTCTTAAAAGTACTCAACAGATTTGACAAAGGGAAGTCAAAATCCAACCATTCAGAAGGAAAGTGACTTTCCCGGTACATTCTTTAAGTTGATCATGACTCCAGCAATAGAATCCAGGAGCCCCAACTTTTGCGCAAACAGTCACTGCTATTCATGGGCACGGGTTATGTCTGTTCCATATGACATTGACAGATGTCCAGGTTCATTTTAAATCAGGCAAGGGAGATAGTCTAGCTGTGGAGCTACCATATCAAGCTGAGAAGAAAACAGCTTGCTTACACCTCGCCCAATTATCTCTACACTGTACAATGTTAAGCACTATAGGTGTTCTCACTGCCCACAAAGCTTCAAGCTCAGGAAGAAAACCAGCTTCAAATCCTACTTATTTGCTGCGTGGATTTTCTTGGCACCAACTCATCAAAGATTCATAGAGGGGAAAAAAAGAAAGCGTGGACATAGCCAATGCTTTACCGGAGGAACTATCACAGGGGACAGAACATGATAAAGGTGCCCTCAAATTTCAGTGTTTGACTGAAGAACCCAAACCTAATTGCAGCACAAGCAAGACTGTTCCTTTGCAGCGGAGATTAGAACTTGGTCCTGGGTATGAAATGAGAGATTATGTAAAGATACAATTGCATTGCCTGAGTTATGAGCTAGAAAAAGAAAATATAATGTATTAAGTGGTTTTTTTGCCCTGCTATTGAAAGCTACAATTCTCTTCTCTCACACAGAATATGAAGGAAATTAAAGTTGAAGATAAAAAATAGAATTACTACAAAATGCCAATTTGGAAGTCATCCATTTAGTGCAATTGGCTTCCTGTTCCCCACAGAGTTGCTTTTTTGTCACTCAGCATTGACTGGGTGTAGGGAAGACCAAAATTAGGCTGAATGTTATTATTCCCTCTCCATGGCCGCTCCAATTTTCTACTGCATTCCTGAGGTGTTTTCCAGATTTTTTCATACATACACAATGTGAATTTAATTCTGCCATAACTTTCATTTATGTTCTCCTCCCAAACTTGCTTTTCACTTCTTGTCCCTTAAAAATGACAAAGCTAAATCCTGAAGTCCTCTTTCAGAAGTTTCTCTATAGTATCACAGGAATATGATTTTTATGTGGAAGCTCTGGTTTCTTCGTTGTAATGATTAAATGCTATACTCCAACTTAACACTTTTGCTTAAGTAGGAATTTGTATAGGCTCTGGCAACAGTACTTAAATGCGAATCCTGGCCATCCGATTTTAACATCAGAAAATACCAGGAAAAACTGAAAGCACATTTTCTTGGCTTGAGCAGGCTTCTTTTGGAACAATTATTTTTTTCAATGGATGTACCAGATGCATCTTCCTAGTGTACCCAAACTGATACTCTGTCTGATCTTAGAGAGGAAGGATCTAGGAGCTGGAGTCCTAGACAGAGGCAGCAAAAGTATAAAAAGTGTAAGACTCCAAGTTAGAAAGACAGAGGATGTTCCCAAGGAAATTCCAAAAATCCTTTACCTGCATCAGAATAAAAACAGAGCAGAGATTGAGAACAGGCAATAGAAGGTCAGCCCTAATTGGATTTTCTTAGACATTCGCACAGACAGACAAAGGGAGTGATAAATAAAAGAATATGAATCCTGCATTTGTGCAGTTTTTAAAGGCAGATTTTTAGATGTATGAAGTGCATTCCTAATCCAGCTCCTCCAGCACACTCCAGTCCCTTGTCTCCTGTCCAGTCAGAGGGTGTAAACAAATGAGCAAAATATATGTCTCCTCAGGGAATATGTTAAAGCCATTAAAGTTTCTAGCCATACAATGGCATGCAGAAAACCATGGCAGCTTTATTAGATAGCTCTGAGCTCACAGTTTCTGAGAAGGTGAAGATCATATTGCCAATGAGGGGGGGCCAAATGTGGGCTTGCCAGAGAGAAATGTGAAGACAAACATCAAATTCTAGTACCTGAAAAGAGAGGAGAAAGCATATGATAATAATAAAAGAAGGAAAGAAAGAGGAGAGCTTGACTGCTCTGCAATTATTTCGGTCTGAATTCTCAGGCATCTCACATTAAATAAACCACTAATTCCTTTTCATGCCCCCACCCCAAGAAAGCAACAAACTGTTTATGATATGACTGCCAGAAGTTTGCTGGACAAGATGTGAGAGCTAAAGGCTCACACGGATGAACAGGAAGCGGTGTCCTATTTCTAAGACAGAAAAGGTTTCAGCGTGCAGCATGGCAAAGCCAGCCCAGAGAAAATTATCCTCCCCAGCAGAATTCCAAGTTACAGATTCCCTTCTTATTACTGGTCTGTGGGGGCAGGACTCTGACAGACATTTAGCTCAGTTTCTGGTCTGAGAAATCTTTGCAGTAGCGAGAGCTTTCCATCCCAAGAGACATTCCTTCAGTCCAGTACTAGAAGCTTGTGCTGAGTTATGTTGCCTCCACTCCTTCTCCTTTAACCCTTTTTTCTCTTTCTCGAAGATTTTGCTGAACACTGGTGCAGCTGATAGGTATTTCCAGAGGCAGAGCAGTAAACCCTTTTAATTTCAGTATCACATGCAGGCATTTTAAAACCTCCAAAAGCAGTTTTATGCTTCACTATTCTCCATGTCACAGTTACTTTTCATACGTAGAAATGGTAGCCTAGTCTGTTAAGCTGGGCCTCCTGGGCCCAGAGACTCCTTGGGCCATGCTGACAATGAGAAATCGTATAAATACATTTAATAATGGTGTGGCTGCAAAATACGAACACAGTGTGGTTAACGAAGCAAGCACTGGACTAGGAACCAGGGGAGCTGGATTGTACTGCTAGCTCTGCTATGCAACAAGGAGCTAACCTTGCTATCCCTCTGTTTTTCCATCTGTGGAATAATAGAGGACATTTACCACTTTTGTGAGCGTTTTTGAGCGCTATAGTTGAAAAGGATCCTGAAGGGACAAAGCACTAAACAAGGACCCTGGTATCAACATCACAGTGAAATGACTGGGTAGACTTCTGAGTTTTTTACAAAGACTAAAAATCAGTGACCAGATGAGTTCAGTAACAAAAAATTTTATAGTTATTTACTTCTGCCCTGACTCTACAGGGAAAGCACAGCTGCAGCTGCATTTTAGGACAAGGAATGAATTTATCCCTAGGCTGCGCTTTGGGAAATCTTACCGAGCCACTTCCTGTTAAGATAGTGTCCAAGAAAATACCATTAATACGGGGATCAAATAGAAAAAATCAGTGCACAATTTAATAGTGGATAATATAACCTCTGCATTAAATTTACATTTACGAAAGTTTAAAGATTCAATTAACTACAGATAACTATGCTTAGAGCTTTTGCAGAGATCTAAAAGAACATACAAGAGAGAAGACAGGTATCATTATTCTCATATTACACTGGGGAAGCTGAGGCACAGAAAAGGTAAGGCATTTTTTCTTTGAGCCATGCCAGAAGCGACAGGTTCAGAAAGCAAGCACTTAATTCCAAACCCCTCTTCCTAACCAACATACCTCATTCTCTTTTCCCAGCACCCAATTGTGTATCTCTAGTGCGCTCTAAAACCTTACTAAAAACATGGAAGATTTGGGGTGTGTAAGGAAGGCAGGATGGCACAGAGAGATTAATTTCGTTCTTACATTCGTCTAATAGTTATTCTAAATGCTGAAATGATTTTGCTGTAGTTATGCCACTATAGCTAAAGAACTCCCAACACTCTGATGGATACACATTAACTGTATTGAGTAATATATATAGTAATTATACCAAAATGACATATTTTGAAGGGAAATATTCTAGGTAACAAGCTTAAATCTCCTCTTAATTACCACTTCTCTAATGAAGACAGAGATAATTACCCAAACTTCTTGGCAGAGTGACAGTGTGCGAACCTCTTTGTCAGCCTGGCTGACATTCTGTAGCTGCCCTAATCCTCTACTATTCTACCATCTTCAGGGCATCTACCAACTGTTTATGTGGGGACAGACCGCTGTTATTTTAGGAGCATCCCGGATCCCAGGGTGGCCAGTCTGGGATCAAATGTTCTCTGTTACCTAATTCTTGAACTGTGTTGAGTTCCAAAGCAGGAAGGGCTGACCCAGGTGGGTTGCAACCCAAGGGACTGTGAGTACTTTACTGGGATGAAATGGTGTCCGAGGCTCGTCTCACTCAACTCAGAGCTGTGAGCGCCTGTCTGGTAACTGAGGCGCTCAAGAAGCGTGTGCGGAGGACACCCACGCCAGGCTGTGCACTGCCTCGGGACTCGGCAGCAGGCTCTGGATGCCGCCCGGGGGCTCAGACGCTGCAGGTCGGGCAATGCCTCCGAGCTGGACCGGGGCGCTTAGGGCAGCTCAGCCCGGCCACCAGCCCGCCGTGCCGCCGCTCCCCACCCTCTGCCCCGGGGCAGACCCCCCCTTACCTTCCTGCTCGGAGGCGCAGCCGCGCGCCCACCCGCGACGC